AGTCAGTAGAGTTTGTTTACCAATTGCATCTCCAACAACATCACCAATTCCTGATTCAAATCCACAATTATTGAAATTAATGCTTTTCAACTTCAGGCAATTTGTTTTAATATTTTCAAAAATACTTTTTCCAACTTCAGTTCCAATTGGATTGTCACTTAAATATAGCCCAGTTAGTAGAGTTTGTTTACCAATTGCATCTCCAACAACATGACCTATTCCTGGTTCAAATCCACAATTTTTGAAATCAATGACTGTCAACTTTGTGCAATTTGTTTTAATGTTTTCAAATATACTTTTTCCAACTTCCGTTCCAATTGGATTATCCCTTAAAGATAGCCAAGTTAGTACAGTTTGTTTACCAATTGCATCTCCAACAACATGACCTATTCCTGATTCAAATCCACAATTCTGGAAATCAATGACTGTCAACTTTGTGCAATTTGTTTTAATATTTTCAAAAATACTTTTTCCAACTTCAGTTCCAATTGCATTGTGATTTAAAGGTAGCTGAGTTAGTAGAGTTTGTTTACCTATTGCATCTCCAACAACATCACCAATTCCTGATTCAAATCCACAATTATTGAAATTAATGCTTTTCAACTTCTGGCAATTTGTTTTAATATTTTCAAAAATACTTTTTCCAACTTCAGTTCCAATTGGATTGTCACTTAAATATAGCCCAGTTAGTAGAGTTTGTTTACCAATTGCATCTCCAACAACATCACCAATTCCTGATTGAAATCCACAATTGCTTAAATCAAGTGCTGTCAACTTTGTGCAATTTCTTTTAATATTTTCAAAAATACTTTTTCCAACTTCTGTTCCAATTGGATTGTCACTTAAAAATAATTTTGTCAGTAGACTTTGTTTACAAATTGCATCTCCAACAATATGACCAAACCCATATTGAAAAGAACAATTGCTTAATCTAAGTAAGGTCAAGTTTGTGCAATTTGTTTTAATGTGTTCTAAGAGAAATGTTACTAAATCTGAACATTTGTCTTTAACATTGTTGTCATTATATTCTAAAACATGCTCTGATATGTTTTTATCATCAATGAGGAAAGCTTGTAATGTTTGAAAAGAAATGTTTTTTTCAATAGCTGCTTTTAGATGTGATATTTGAGTTGAATTTAATTGTGATGTTATTTCCAATGTGTCAATATCTATTGATTGATTTTCTTTAATTATATTTAGTATGTTATTTATTGGAAAGTTGTAACTGTTTGAAATTTTTAATAATCTTCTATCTAATATATCTGAGAAATCACTTAAAAGTTTTTGAATAAAACACAAATTGAATAGTTTTGAATTAAGTATTTTCTCCAATTCTGTAGTGTTTAGTTTATTGACAGTTTGAGGATTGTATAATGAATTTAAAATATCCAAGTTGTATAAACTTTGAATAGCTTGACAAATTTGTAAAATATGTTTCAAATGAAAATTACACTTGTGTATGTAGAGTTGTCTAATTGATTTGTGATTATTTATAGTGAATGTTTTGAAAAAATTTAAAAGAGCAAATGAATCAATTGGATTGTCTGATATATCTAACTTTTTTATACATGTGAATATATGAATACATTTTCCAATTTTGGCTAGATCGTTTGAAGTTAATTGACACTTTGCTAAAATTAAATTTTCAATTTGCTCAAGAGATTTTAGATTGGAGAGATTATCAATAACCAATTGTGCCTTTGTATGAGATATATCTAAGTCAATGAAGTAGAACATACCATTGAAAAATTTAGTAATATCATCCAATTTTAAGTCAAATTCACATGAATTAAATATCATATAAAGTTTATGCTTTTGAAGATTTTCTGTTTTTGAAGTTACCTGTCTATAAGAATTTGACATAATGTTTATAACTTTGGAAGAAATTTTAGACTTTCTTAAAAAAAGAGTATATAAATATTTTGAACTTTGTAAAACTTGTTCAAAAAAGTCAGTTATACATTCATGTTCTAAAGAATTTTCTCCCAAATCCAGCAATTTCAGATTTATTAAACTTTTACAATTTTGAGACAATTTTTCTTTTTTCCAAATCATTTCTTTATGATCTATTAATGGCAATTTCAGATGTTTTACAATTTGCAATGATAATAAAGCTGTTAGAAAAGAGTTTTCATCATTTTCTTTTAAAACATTTCCTTTTAACTCCAAAATTTCTATTTCTTTATTGAATTCCAAAAATGTAATCATGTCTTTTGAATCAAGTTCTGTGTTACAATTGTTAATTTGTAAACCTCTGAGTTGGTTATTTTGATTTGTAAATATTGTATTACAGATATTATTTGGAATGATATTGTCTGAAAAATTAAGAAATGATAAATTTGGATATTGTTGAAGAAGATTTATTAGATTTTCTGATTGTTTTCCTGAATTAAAACATTTTGAAATATTTAATGAGATAATATCTCTGTTATTTCTCAGAATATAATCAAAGGGCTGATTATCTAAAAAATTGATTGTTTTAAAATAGTCATATTTGAAAAATTACTCCTTACCTTCAAATTGATTTTCAGAAATATTGAAATAATAAAGACAATCAAATTTCATTTTCAAAAATTTAGGTGAACATTTTTGTAAATTACAATTTTCTAATGTTAAATCTTCTATTGTAGTTGAATGTATAAAGGATGACAATTCTAAACATCCATTGAAGAAAATATTAGTTATACTTAAAACTCTTAATTTTTGCATTTTTGTCATTAACTTTTTTACTATTTCAATTTCTAATAATTCTTCAATACCTCCATTGATTTTAAAAATTTCTAATATATTTTCCAATTGGCTGGTACAGATCTCAATAAAATTTGGTAGATTTATCTTAACAAATTTGAAATGATTTCCTTGATATTTCTTTTATAGGAATTAAATATAATATTAATAATAGTTGTTGGTAATGATATTGACTCAAGTTCAATTAAATTTGAATGCCTTCTATTTATTATATCAATAATTCTTTGATCAGTTTCCAACACCATAAGAATATTTTTATTCTCTTCAATAATTTGAGAAAATACTTTATAATTTATTTCTTGAAGAAAACTGAAAACATTTTTCAATAAAAATAGATTTTCCAACTTGTCAAAATATGTTTTTAGTGATTGAATGATTGATTCATTTTTCTTGCTATCTTGGTATAAATTTATGATATATCTTGCAGTTAGATATTCTTGGAAGAAAATATGAATAAATGTAAATTCTTTAAATTGAGTCATAGATGATTTTTTCTTAACTGGAATCAATAATCCACCAATATAATCTGACTTTTTTACAATTTCATTTATTGATATTTCTTTATTGTAAAGTAAATTTTCAAAAGCCAGTTTTGAACAATATTCTAAAATTTTCGTATAATCATTACTTTTAGAATCAATGCCAGCCTTAGTTAATAGAATCTGTATGGATTGATCAAAAATAGAATATCTAGTACCTATAATATCTGTATCTGTTTCTTCCCAAATACCAGCTACTAAACAGGCTATTAAAGGACTATTACAAATGTTAAAAACTTCTTTGTTTTCTGTTTTTAACATTTGAAAAAGAATATCAGATTTCTTTATAACTTTTCCATCATGGTGGAAACAATTAGTGGTTAATTTCTTATGGCTTTTATTATGGTAAAATGGTAGTTTTAAATCAGGTAAATTGTCTTCATTAAAAAATTTTTCAAAATAAATTTTCAATTGTCTTTCATTGAATCCATTGATGTCAAATACAAAATCATAGGTATCACTAACATGTCTAATTTTCCAATTTCTTGCCCAAACAATTACTGGATAAATTGTAAAATTACACTTTTTTACAATATCATTAAATATTGAATCTTCATATTTCAGTTCATCAGCCCCATCCAAAAGAAGAATCATCTTTTCTTTGCATTCTGTCTGTTCAAAAAAGTACTGAAAGAGTTCTTTGGTAATGCAGGAGTCTCTTTTAAAATTATTTGTAAACAGTTCATCAACCAAAGATTCTTTACATGCAGTTCTTTGAACAGCTCCAAGTTTGATATACAAAAGAAGACAATTGTCCAAAAATGTGTCATCATGAACCCATGAATGTAAAATTTTCATTGCATGATAAGTTTTACCCATACCAGCATCTCCTCTAATCAAAATTCTTTTATTTTCCTCATCAATTAAAATCTTTTGAAAGGATTTAACATCATCAAAATTTTCATCAACAACCAGATTACTTTTTGATGATACCAATTGGATGGGTGTGAAAATTTTACTGAAATTAATCTGAGAAGGATTTTCTTTTAAAAATGGAAACTTTGGAATTGTTTCCAAATCCTTTAATAAAATATTCTTTCTCTCTTTCATTAAAATAGTCCAAGTATTGTTAATCAATTCTGAAAGTCTTTGACATTTTACTGTGTTCATTTTAAGTAAAATTAAAAGGAATTTAGATGTTGGCACATATTGAATATGTTCCTTAAAAAGCTTTTCAAAATCTAATTGCTCAGATAAACAATTGTCTTTAATCACATCTTCCTGTAGTAGAAATGTTTGAAATTTTTCATCACCATTTAGACATTCTAATATATTTTCATAATGATAGTTAAGTAAGTTATTTCTAATGTGCTGTAAAATATAAATTTATTGACAGATTTTTTTGGGAAAAAAAAGATTTGAAGCCTACACAGAAATTTTTTAATGATCACTAATGTAATGGTTGTGATTGAGAAAAACCATCCTAGGGAAAAAACATGCCTGGGAAAGATATCCCATAGATGGGATCTAAACTTGCTTGTTTAGAACTAGAAACTCAGTTACTCAAATACATATTCTTTGAATGACATACTGGTGTTTGTTGGTTAATTTTTACTGGAATTACATTTATTTAGACTACTTGTGGATGAACTTGAAAGGTTCTATTTGGACCAGTACTTTGGCACATTGGTAAATGATTGGAGAGGACGAATTTTATAGCGACAAGCTAGGACTTCCTACAATTACAATAGAACAAAGTACACCCATAGATGGGAAAAAATGTCCAAGGCATGGATAAAGATGTACTGGGCATAATTAGTAATAAATTTAATGAAAAATGTACTGCAATATTTTACCCACTTGCTCTGAACTATGTGATGCTATTTAAAGAGAAACAAATGATTAAATCTGCTGTCCTCTCACAGAAGATTGCAAATAATCTATTCAAAAAAATTCTTAGTGTCTCACCATATTTTGTTTGTATTTGAGTAACTTTAAAACTTTGTATAACATTCTTAGCTTTTTACATTTTTAATACATTTTTATAAGCATACATTTATTTTTAATTAGAATATTCTCACTATATTACTATTAGTTCTCAAATTAGATCAACATTTTCACCATTGAAATATCCTATCCCTTTCCTATAACATTTTCTCAAAAGGATGTTTTTTTACCATACTATAATCTAGTATCTTTAAAAGATGAAATAAGAATATATATATTGTTGTCATAGTGAAGGGTTGAGTTTGTAGTTTACTAGACAATAATTATCATTGAGAAATATTATTATTAAAAATATAGTTAGAATTAAATAGGTGTTTGGTGATGAAAAATGTAGAATAGAATGATAAACAACCTTTCACTAAGATTTGTAAGCAAATAAAACAGGTAACATTAAATTTGGTAATTTGCCAAGTCTAGTTGCAATGGCTGACAACAGATACTTTAACATATATTCCAGCATTTTTACTAAATTGCTATTGAAATCTCAACTATATAATTGCCTAAAAAAATCCAAAAAATATAATTTAATAAATTAAAAAAAAATATTCTTACTTTTGCCATATTCTTTCAGAAAAATTCAATTTGTTTAGTTTTAAAATCAACTAGGTTTACTGTACACAACAATTCAGTATAAAAATCTTTTTATAAAATGGTAGACCTTATTCAATACAATTTAATATGAATGTTTAATGTTTGGCATTGTGTGTGCACTTAGATACAATGATATATCAATACTTAGACTTTAGATATAGGGGTACATTAGAAAGACTTCTATTTTATAGGAATTAGACTGGTGCAAATGTAGAAGTACTTATATTTCATTAGGTTAGGGTTTGGTTTAGGTTTGGTTAGGCCACTCACAGAACTGTTGTCAGTTTTAGGAACTGGTTAGTTAATCAATGTTACCAGCTTTGTATTGGTTATGGTAGGGGTTCTCCTTGGTCAGGGTACAGTATTTGCTTCTAGGTGTTGTATGGGAGTTCTCTTTAAGTTAGGGCTCCACAGAGGTTTCAATGAGGGGTTCCCTTGGTCAGGGCTCTGTATATGTCTAGGTTCAACAGAGTTCTCCCAAAATTGGCTCCAGTTCTCTGTTTAGGTCAAGAAATGTACAACTCTTAGGGTTCTGAGACGAAGGAGACCCCCCTAAGTACAAATCAGTTGCTGTTTTCTTCTGCCTAACCATTTCCCAATCCAAAATTTAGTCTTGAAATTTCTCATTTGTGGACGTTTTCTGTCGACCCCATAAAATGGATCTCTAACAACTTTAAATGTTGCATCAATGAACCAAATTTTACATATATCTCTTAATAAGAAATCCATTGGAATTTCATTCAGATTTATTTCAAAATCAAAATCTCTAGGATGCTTTGGTCTTTACTCTCTTTATATCAAAAAGATTTTCTTAATGATTCTAGTTCTGGCAAGTCTTCTTTAAATTTTAGGATAATATCATCTTTTAACAGTTTTTCCATTGTCACCAGTTGCCATTTCTTTCAAGTCCATTCTTGATTGAAGAACATTTTCCAGATTTTTATGCAACTTATGAAGATGATTTTCATTTCTTACAACAAACTTTGATCCTTTTTGTAACATGTATGCAAGACAAGGAGCTTGTTTAAACTTAGTTGTTTAGAACTAGAAACTCATTTACTCAATACATATTCTTTAAACGAAATACCTGCCTTTTGTTGATTAATTTCTACTGAAATTACATTTCTTAAGACTATTTGTGTACGAACTTGAAAGATTCCATTTATTTGAGTACTTTGGTAAGTTGATAAATGATTGGAAAGGTTGACTGCTGTGCTGAAGAAGCAGAAATTCCTACAATTAGAATACAACAAAGTACACTGGTATCCCTTACTCTGAAAATATTTGGAATTTTATAATAATTCTTTTACATATCTGAAATTACTATGTTATATTACTTATTGTACTCTCCTGCTGGGTTGTAGGTAATCAAATTAGGAGTTTG